ACTCAATGCATCATGGGAATCCCCAGCAGCCTATATCTATTGCACAGCATGGGGTATTTTACTTGAACAAATTTCTAGGGTTTAGCTGAATTGATGCTGATTCCATACTAGTGTTGCGCTGCAGGATTGAAAGAGACAGTATACAATAAGTGGAGATAAAGCACTGATACATAATCTAAAACAAATTCCCATAAAACTTCAGCAAAACCGTAATGTCACACTTTCATGTAATGCAGTAAATCTTTCACAGTTGGACACAGAGTTATCAGTGTCAGTATAATGTTGTTTTCCACAGACATTAAACAGTTTGAAAGACTTCAACCCAGGCCCCTACACAGATGGGTGTTAGCGTGCAGTGCACAGACTGCTGACTCAACCAGGTCAGCTGTCCTGGCACCTGCTGTGTAAATCATCTGTCCTGAATTCTCCTTCAGCAAAAATTAAAATGCAAAACAGCACTGAATTGCCATACCACTATCATGACGTGGCTGTAATAGTCAAATGAAAATGATAAAAGCAGTAAAACAGAGGGAGTTACAGAAACTGGTCAGCTTCTCTGCTTTTTAATCTTTAATCTTTTTCTTATTTTAAAACGTGCTGTTTAGCAGTTCACAATGTCAGTTTACACCACTTATCAAAAAAACGTCAAATATACTTTTATGCCTGTGGTGGGGCGTGGTCTGCGCTGCTGCTGCAGGGGAGGTGGATGCAACTGCACGGCATCTGCAATCATGCCTCGCCGACATAAAAAGTCTGCACTGGGTCCTGGTTATTGTTGCTGTTGGTGTTTGTGCTCCAGCTGTGTGGAAATGACAACCGCTGATGAAAGCAAGTCAGTAAAGATGCTGAAAAGCACGAAAACGTCATTGGGTCTGCCGTGGTTCCTTTACAATGCCACAGTCTGAAGAGCTGTACAGAGACTAAAGAGAGTCAGAAGCACTGGATACTTTATGTTAACAAACAGCATTGTCAGGGCTACACATGCAAGAAGTGGTCTTACTTTGCTCAAATTCAGGCAAACAGCTTGATGCCTTGAACCTGCTGGTTCATGTTTTGCGCCTGTTTTAAGATATTTCAGAACTTTTATTTGATATCAGATGAATCATTCCAAGAAAGCAAAGTTTAAAATTGGTAAAAAAACCCAAAAACAAATCTAATAAATTTGATAAACTGCCTATCTTTAATTCATGGTGTTTAATTCTTTGTTGAATATTTTTGACTTGTTGTGCTTCAATAGTTAGCAGCGTTGCATTTCCATGTAGCCTTTGCATGCTATTCCAGAGGAGTCTGTTCAGTGACAGGTTGCTTCTCCCAAAGACAAGAACCAACAGACTTATAAACTCCTTTGTCCCACACGCCATCAAACTGTTTAACTCCTCTCTGGAGGGGAGTGGGAGGGGAAACAGGAGGACAAAGGTAGGGGGACAACTAAGCTGTAGTGCCTTTTCACTGTGCAATACTTTTTGTTAATATCCAACAGTGCAGTAGACTTCAATACTTGAAATGTGCAATTCCTTTGTATTCTAATTCCTATTTATTCTATTTATCCCTTTTGTATTCTCTGTATTTATATATGTGTATATATGGTATTCTGCTCACATTCTGTAACTTCTGTTGGTGCTGTGCTATTTGGAAACCGAATTTCCCAGAGGAACCTAACCGAGGGATTAATAAAGTTTTATCTAATCTAATCTATCTAACCTCTCTATTCCTATGCTTGCATGAGTGTTCTTTCAATGTTAGAGCCACTGCTAATCCATAAATGGTTGTAGGTGTGGGGGTGAATGATTTCCTATCTCTCGGTTGCTAGTGAGCTGTGCAGGATGTGCTCTGTTTTAGTTAGCCATTGTTGTGGAAGTTTTCCATTAAACAAAGCCTGCAGACGAGCGGTGAGCGGTAGCTAACATTCTTCAATCAAAAACAAAGAACAGACAAACCAAGCTTGTGGAGAGCCTACATGACCGCGGGGCAGACGGTCAGCAGAGTCTCTCTGAGCCTAGCATGGCTCTCAGTTAAATACCTTCTCCAGGAACAAAAGGCAGTACACAGCTGTTTCACACCTTAAGGTTCACACTCCCTTGCTACCGCCCAGAGTCCTCAAAGAGAGAAAAGATTCTTCCTGTGGAGCTGTCTGCTTCCCCCCAACATCCTTACTACACCCCCACCATCTGTCTAACTGCATGAGTGTGAGACATGTTAGAATCCAGTGGCACCAAGGCATCATACAATAAAATAATGTGATTAATACATAAGTAAAAGAAATTCCTATACACCATCACAGATAATATAAAACAAAACTGTGACATTGTGCTGCACTAAAGTCAACAAATACTTGTGAGAGCTGTGAAGTATAATCTCAGGCTTAAGGGTGCACAGTTTCACCTAGTAGTTTTTTCCCTTCTGACTCATCTGCAGATAATGTCATAGACAGATGATTTTATTATGGTCTTCTCTCTCTGGTAAATCTTTGTTCATGAGTGCAGACAGTTAGCTTCCCTTCTCCAGCTAAACAAAAACAAAACTGAGGTAATAGTCTTTGGCGCCAAAGAAAAACGATTACAGGTCACCAGAGAACTTCAATCTATACATCTAAAAACCACAAACCAGGCGAGAAATTTGGGTGTAGTGATGGATGCAGACCTAAACTTAGAAAAACACATTAAGACAATAACAAAGTCAGCTTACTATCACCTCAAGAATATTTCAAGGATAAAAGATCTGATGTCTCAACAGGACCTGGAAAAACTAGTCCATGCATTCATCTTTAGTAGGCTTGATTACTGTAACAGCATCTTTACAGGTCTACCTAAAAAATCAGTCAGACAACTACAGCTCATTCAGAACTCTGCTGCTCGAGTCCTCACTAAGACCAAAAAAGTGGACCACATCAGTCCAGCTCTGAGGTCTTTACACTGGCTGCCTGTCCGTCAGAGGATAGACTTTAAAGTTCTGATGCTGGTCTATAAAGCTCTGAATGGTTTAGGACCAAAATACATCAGTGACCTCCTGACCCAGTATGAACCTTCCAGATCCCTCAGGTCATCTGGATCCGGTCTTTTATCAGTTCCCAGAGTCAGAACCAGACACGGAGAAGCTGCATTCAGCTTTTATGCTCCTTATATCTGGAACAAACTCCCAGAAAGCCTCAGATCAGCTGAAACACTCAGTTTATTTAAATCCAGGTTGAAGACTCACCTGTTCTCAGCTGCATTTGAATAAAGCACCAAATCCACACTTTTAAGCTTAAATTTCAAAACTAACATTTTAACTACTGATTTTTATCTATTTTGATTTTATATACTGTTTCGTTTGTTTGTTTGTTTGTTAATTAGTTAGTTTGTTTGTTTGCTTGTTTTAATCAATTTTAAATCATGCTTTTTATTTGTTTTTGTTTCTAATGTCTCTGTAAAGCACTTTGAATCACCTTGTTGTTGAATTGTGCTATACAAATAAACTTGCCTTGCCTTGCCTTTAACTACCCCACCAAGAAAAAAGCAATGGAAAACGTCTTATGTGCTCGACCACTTGGTTGTTAATGGTTTAAGGAGTGGATATTTTCCAGAGACTTCAGCTGTGACTCCGGGCAGACGAAGTCTGACTCTTCTTCCCCCCAGAGTGTCTCTGTCACACTGAACCCATCCTGCAGACTGTGTGTAGGGAGTCCTCAACACCTTTTATCATTTTATATAAAATTTTATCCAACTGGTAAAAACTAATCCCGTTGATGAGAGAGATATCCGTTTGGATCCGACTGTCCAAACTGATGTTAATGGTCTCCTCCTCCTCTGCCTTTTCGATGTTTGAAATCCGTTTGACAACAAACCTCCCTGTTGAGGAAATGAAGAAAGAACTGTCACAATTAAAGCTGAGAGTCTGGAGTTCTCTGTTATGTGTACCTTATCTGCACCATGTTTTCTTGCTGATTACAAGTAAGTTGTAGGTGTAAAGTTTTTATAATGTGTTATGAACTCTCAGGAAAAGGAAGCGATGCTACAGTTTACTGCATAGATAACATGAATATGGGTAATAATGACAGTTTAAACATGAATACAGTTCGTTCTGTATCAAGTAAAGGTAGTTGAAACTAGAAGGAGTTTCTCGTCCTCCCAGTTAATAAGTCATGACCAAAGGGCGTGTGTTGATAGCTGTGTATACTGAACACATTTCTGTATTTAGGGAGATAAGAATAATTTGATATCTCTAATTCACAGCCTTCTTGCTGTCAGAAATTGGTGCTAACACACAAAAAAGTGCAGATTTCCTTCACACATTTAATCTTCAGTGATATATTTTTCTTTTCTTTTGTAATAGCAACTCAATTAAACACGGATATACTTTGGCTACAGATTATTTAAAGTGCTTCAGGATCTATACACACTCAAATCATCTGTGTTGATCCAAATGTAATTTCTAAAGATAAACAGATGGAGACTCTGACTATGGTAGAATGTAAACTGCAGCTTCTTTGTAGAAGTGTTTCTAGAAGCTCTGAAGACCTAAAGGAAGCCAAATGAACAATATTGCATTTCTAAACTATTACAGAACTGTTATTAACTGTACAAACATGAAACACAAACAGTTTAAACCTAATTTCACCTGAATCATTTAAAGTATCTGAAAGGACTGTGAACAATACTTGACATTTTTTTTCTGTAAGTTGAAGATGGAAAAATAAATGCTGACATTTGAAATCGAGATGTAGTCTGAGTTATAGATTATGAAAATATCATTGCAGTAAACTCACCTGTAAATCAATCCCTTTACAAAAGTGAACCAGAAGAGTTAATGCATTTCTAGTGTAATGCATTAACTTATCCTAACCTCATTAAAAAAAATTCCACATCCTTACCTGCTGGTAAACTGCTGAATGTGCAGAGATGATAACATAGTGTTCACTCTATGTTAAAAATGAAACCACAGAGACTGATGCCAAAATGCCTATCTGTGAGCAGCCAGCTACTTGTTTATGTATACAGCATAAAAAGTAACACTGCATATCAACTTGGTGTCTTTGGGCAGTTTGGACAGACTGAAGATGCATAACAGAGCTGGAGGTTGTTTTTGGAAACAGATACCAACTCAAAGAAGAGGATGCAGCAGGAGTATGTATCTCTCCAGTTGTTTTATCTTAGTATTTATATTTTTAAGTGCAAAAAAAGAACAGCAGATTTATAGTAGGGATTTCTTGGCAGGGAACCTTACTTTGTCTCAGTGGAAAACCTTTGGTCAGATGTAACTGAATTTTCATGTGGTGTTCTGCAAGGATCTGTTTTAAGACCTTTGTTATTCTTATTATAGATCTTGTAATTACACCTTATTATTAGTAGTTTTAAATTATTTTCCTATTATCTGTATGTAGCACTTTAAACCTTGTGAACTGGATAAACTATCCATTCTAATGGATTGTCTTAAGGCAATTAATAGCTGGATGGCAAACTATTTGCTGCAGCTTAATGCAGACAGCACTGAGTGTTTAATATTTCCAGCAGAGAGCAATAAGCCCTAAATGAGACAATACCTGGGTTCTTTCTCATTCACAGTAAAAGCTCACTAACTCATCTAATTCCAGTATAATAAACTGGACTATTTATCTATTTATCCAGTTATTATTTGCCACAGGGCCCAAATTAAGTATCACAGTCATTAAAAAAATAAAAGGAAGAAAAAAGAGACTTAGATGTTCTTGCTGCTTTCATAATATTAAGATTAAAGCAGTACGAATTACTCCATCTTGACATTCAGAAACCAACAAAGAATATTTGTTTTCCTAAAACAAATAATAGAATCTGTTTTTATTCTAAATATACATTCGAATAACACTTCTTTAAAAATAGCATAAATATATCAAAGCAGTACAAATAATTTTTATAAAGATTTAAAATTAGATGAAGTTCCTCCTGCTTGTGCTTTAAAGATCGAAGTAATGTAAATGTTCAAAGCATAAAGTCTGCAAATAGCTGTATTTTTTTTCTATCTGAAGGATACTGTGTCTGCATGTCAGAACCTTGAAAGTTTTTTTTTTTGCCTTTTCAAAGCTGGACAAAAGAGTAGAAAAGGCAATTTCCAGTTCAAGGCACAGGTGTCGAACTCCAGGCCTCGAGGGCGGTGTCCTGCAGGTTTTAGATGTATCTTTGATCCAACACAGCTGATTTAAATGGCTAAATTACCTCCCCAACATGCCTTATAATTCTCCAGAGGCCTGGTAATGAAGTAATCATTTGATTCAGGTGTGTTGACCCATGGTGTTATCTAAAACCTGCAGGACACCGGCCCTTGAGTTCGACTCCCCAGGTTAAAGGGGTTATATGTCACTGTACTGATATACAGTTGACTTGTTGGTTCCCTTTAACTTCATATTTACCAATTCTGCAATATAAGAGAGCAGCAGGGCCTGTCAGTAATCTAATATTGTTCATCGAGTTCTTTGTGCTCCAGTTTTAAAGTTGTTTGTTGTTTCTTTCTTTATGATGTTTTCAGAACAGGAACTGCTAACAGCTACCAATGATATTAAAACATTCTCTCTTCATTTTTCTCTCTTTTGCAGCAGCTGCTGTTCGTTCCAAACCTCAGGGATCAACTTTGAGTCCATCAGCACACACCTGGATGCAAAGGACGGTCCTCTACACTGCACTGGGATTCGAACTGGCAGCTTTACTTGGCTTTGCAGTTTTACTGGTTAATCGCTTCTGTGCCTTAAGATGTCGTACTCGTCTGAGAAGATACCAAAATTTCATTTAAATGTTTAACAGGAGCTTTGTGGTGTCGTTTTGCACCAAGAGAAACTAAAAGCAGGACTTGGAGGGAGCCATCAGGCAGAAAACTTGAGGTTCAAGAATCCAAGACTGTGTAATGTATGTTTGAAGTATCAGAAAGCCTCATTGTGATATGAAGTGCATATTATGTGCTCATGTATCACTGCAGAAAGGATGATGGGGTAGGTTATGCTCCCATGTGTGTCCTGTTTATTATTTCTAAGCTGGACGCTCATCCTGCCACCAAATGGGAACTTTAAAAAAAAACAAAAGCAAACTTTTGCTCTCTTCAGTTTGTACGGCCTTTAATCCACCAGAGGATTTAGCCTATAAATGTGCCGTTTTCCTATCAGCTGTATTCAGTGGTTAAACTTTAACAAGTGCCTGGACTCAACAAGACCAAAGAAGGAAATGTGCTGTTATTTAATCCTGACAGTAGGGACTGGACTTTGTTACGGCAGATAAGACACTTCATTTGCTTCCTGTTTCCTCAACGTGTATGTGTTCCTTTAAGGAGCACACTGTCACGACCCTTGTTTTTACAAACAGCAATAAACTTTATTAATAACAGAGTTTACAAGATTTGCAATAACAAACATGCAGTGAGAAAATAGTCCTTTCTTTATGCATATACAAGAGTTAGGCTTTGTTATTAGACTTTGATACATGCATATTCCATAAACAAGGGTCTCAGGTGAGCAGATGGTTCAGTGTTTCATTGCTTATGGTTTTAAAAATACTTTAGAAGCAGAAATAAAAAAGTGTAAAATTCTGCTGCAGGTTTCTGTTCCTAAAATGTAACTTATGGTTTCAACAAACTCAAACTAAAGCTGTGGCAGCAGCCTGCTGCTGCTGCTTTCATTTCATTTCTCTCTCAAATCAACACACACAGGCTGATGAACTCGATTTCTTTGAGCTAGAGTTCGTGAACTGGAAGAATTTCATGTCTCATGCCCGATGCTTTCTTCTTCTTTTAAATCCAGTCTAAACTTTGAACCACACTCAGATTTCAAGATGCTGCCTGCAGGACACAAATCATGTCTGGAAATTCTGAGGTCAATATGAGACGTTGTTCCTGCATGAAGATACAACATACAGTTCTTTATGCATTATGGAGGAGGAGCATAACAGCAACAAGAATTTCATCAAAATGATTTAGGCATGGATAGATTTGTTTTTATAGGGAAAGAAAAATATCCATGAAAATAAGTATTTTCCTCCACTTATGGAACTAAGTGAAATTCACCCTCTTGGCCAGATGATGGTGCTATAAGCTCACTGTATCCAATCAAATATATTATTATTATTATTATTAGTAGTAGTAGTAGTATTAATAATAACTTTATTATTATTTTATGGCACTTATTGCAAACTGCTTCAGTAAAACACCCTAAACAACACAATAAATATCAAACAAAATAAAAAAGCAACACTAACCAAACCATATCCATGTCAGTTAGGACATGCAAGAATTCCTTGATCTCTAAAAACAAGTTTAAAATTAACATTACTTAAAACAGTAATATGGGGGTTAAATGAGAATGTCAAAGATGTAATGACATTTATAATAAAACAGTAAATGTTTGATCATTGTTTCATTCTTTACACATCGGGGGAAACAGCTGTAGTCTGCCCCAGGGCAGCTGTGGCTACAACTGTAGCTTGCCTCCACCAGTGTGTGAATGTGAGAGTGAATGAATAGTGGAATTGTACAGCGCTTTGAGGTTCTCGAAAAGCGCTATATAAATGCAATCCATTATTATTATTATTATTATCAGTCAAACCAAGTGTGGCACAAACATAATGAAACAGAAAAACTACAGTTTTCTGTTTTAGATCATAAACTGCTGTCTGACATTTCAAACAGATGTTATTGGGAGAGAGGTTCATGTCTATATGTATATCTGAAATGATGTGTCCTCATAGGAAGCGGGTCCTTCAGTCTCCTTAGTCCTGATGGGTTGTGTCTCTAAGGCACTCCCTGCTGGGTTTTGTGGCTTTTTCTCCTTTCCAATAATCACAGAAACTACAGCAGCTACTCCCAGCCCCAGACCAACGTACAAGCTCATGCTTGACAGTGTCAGTCTCTGACGTTGATCAGCTGCTGTTGTAAAAAACACAGAGACGTGTTGCCATTAAAAATATATTATGCATCTGTTATGAAAAGCAGTAATGCCCTTATTATCCTCAGTGGTGAAATCATATTTAAAGAAGAAAAAAAGAAAATAATACAAATACTCCTTAGTAATTTACCTGTGACGCTGAGGCGACAGCTCTCATAACCAGCACCATGATCAGTGTTCACCTCACACAGGTACAGACCCGAGTCATCGTCCTGAGTCTGGACAGTTGAAGATGCTGACACCTCAACACCATTGGACACATGATAGAAGCCAAAGGTTTTAAAATTAGTCTTGTGTTGACACCTGATGGAAACAGAGTTTGTGGATCTGTCTGGTTTGGTGGTGAACGTCCACTCCAGTGTGATGTTGTGGTTCTCCTCTGCCTGATAGCAGGTCTGTGTCACATTGACTACAAATGATCCTGTTGAGGAGACAGAGAGGGAAAGAGAGGAGCAGACACACTGAGAACTGGAACAAATTTGATACGCTTATACTGTAATTTTAAGTACAGCATAATTCGCTTTAAGTAATTTCATGTGGAAAAACAGTATTTTCTATTGATCTGTTTGCTGTTTCATTCATTATGTTGAAGGATGTTCTGCTGTCATTTAATGTCATTCTGTCAGTATGACAGAATTAAAAAATAAACTTCAAATTTCCTACTAAATGTAGTGTTACTGAGGGAAACAAGAAACAATCCTGCAGTGTTAAAATAGATATAAGCAATTTTTTGTAATATAGTCAATGCAATGAAAAAAAAAACTGGACTGAGTTGCCAGCTATGGTTATTAGTCATCATTCGGATACTTGACACTTTTTAGATCATACTTCACTTTCACAAAACAGACATTTTTCATTTGTGGACCCTCTGTTTCAGAAACACAACCTCCTCCGGTACACTCTCAGGGATACAACTGGACATTGAGTCACACTGACTCATCCAATCATAACTGGAATAATTCAATTCAATTCAAGTTGTTTTATTTAAATGCCGCCAAATCACAAGAACAGTCACCTCAAGGCGCTTTATATTGTACAGTAGATCGTACAATAATACATACAGAGAAAAACCCAACAATCATATGACCCCCTATGAGCAAGCACTTTGGCGACAGTGGGAAGGAAAAACTCCCTTTTAACAGGAAGAAACCTCCAGCAGAACCAGGCTCAGGGAGGGGCGGGGCCATCTGCTGCGACTGGTTGGGGTGAGAGAAGGAAGACAGGATAAAGACATGCTGTGGAAGAGAGACAGAGGTTAATAACAGATATGATTCAGTGCAGAGAGGTCTGTTAATACATAGTGAGTGAGAAAGGTGACTGAAGAAGAAATACTCAATGCATCATGGGAATCCCCAGCAGCCTATATCTATTGCACAGCATGGGGTATTTTACTTGAACAAATTTCTAGGGTTTAGCTGAATTGATGCTGATTCCATACTAGTGTTGCGCTGCAGGATTGAAAGAGACAGTATACAATAAGTGGAGATAAAGCACTGATACATAATCTAAAACAAATTCCCATAAAACTTCAGCAAAACCGTAATGTCACACTTTCATGTAATGCAGTAAATCTTTCACAGTTGGACACAGAGTTATCAGTGTCAGTATAATGTTGTTTTCCACAGACATTAAACAGTTTGAAAGACTTCAACCCAGGCCCCTACACAGATGGGTGTTAGCGTGCAGTGCACAGACTGCTGACTCAACCAGGTCAGCTGTCCTGGCACCTGCTGTGTAAATCATCTGTCCTGAATTCTCCTTCAGCAAAAATTAAAATGCAAAACAGCACTGAATTGCCATACCACTATCATGACGTGGCTGTAATAGTCAAATGAAAATGATAAAAGCAGTAAAACAGAGGGAGTTACAGAAACTGGTCAGCTTCTCTGCTTTTTAATCTTTAATCTTTTTCTTATTTTAAAACGTGCTGTTTAGCAGTTCACAATGTCAGTTTACACCACTTATCAAAAAAACGTCAAATATACTTTTATGCCTGTGGTGGGGCGTGGTCTGCGCTGCTGCTGCAGGGGAGGTGGATGCAACTGCACGGCATCTGCAATCATGCCTCGCCGACATAAAAAGTCTGCACTGGGTCCTGGTTATTGTTGCTGTTGGTGTTTGTGCTCCAGCTGTGTGGAAATGACAACCGCTGATGAAAGCAAGTCAGTAAAGATGCTGAAAAGCACGAAAACGTCATTGGGTCTGCCGTGGTTCCTTTACAATGCCACAGTCTGAAGAGCTGTACAGAGACTAAAGAGAGTCAGAAGCACTGGATACTTTATGTTAACAAACAGCATTGTCAGGGCTACACATGCAAGAAGTGGTCTTACTTTGCTCAAATTCAGGCAAACAGCTTGATGCCTTGAACCTGCTGGTTCATGTTTTGCGCCTGTTTTAAGATATTTCAGAACTTTTATTTGATATCAGATGAATCATTCCAAGAAAGCAAAGTTTAAAATTGGTAAAAAAAAAACCAAAAACAAATCTAATAAATTTGATAAACTGCCTATCTTTAATTCATGGTGTTTAATTCTTTGTTGAATATTTTTGACTTGTTGTGCTTCAATAGTTAGCAGCGTTGCATTTCCATGTAGCCTTTGCATGCTATTCCAGAGGAGTCTGTTCAGTGACAGGTTGCTTCTCCCAAAGACAAGAACCAACAGACTTAAAAACTCCTTTGTCCCACACGCCATCAAACTGTTTAACTCCTCTCTGGAGGGGAGAGGGAGGGGAAACAGGAGGACAAAGGAGGGGGGAACAACTAAGCTGTAGTGCCTTTTCACTGTGCAATACTTTTTGTTAATATCCAACAGTGCAATAGACTTCAATACTTGAAATGTGCAATTCCTTTGTATTCTAATTCCTATTTATTCTATTTATCCCTTTTGTATTCTCTGTATTTATATATGTGTATATATGGTATTCTGCTCACATTCTGTAACTTCTGTTGGTGCTGTGCTATTTGGAAACCGAATTTCCCAGAGGAACCTAACCGAGGGATTAATAAAGTTTTATCTAATCTAATCTATCTAACCTCTCTATTCCTATGCTTGCATGAGTGTTCTTTCAATGTTAGAGCCACTGCTAATCCATAAATGGTTGTAGATGTGGGGGTGAATGATTTCCTATCTCTCGGTTGCTAGTGAGCTGTGCTCTGTCTTAGTTAGCCATTGTTGTGGAAGTTTTCCATTAAACAAAGCCTGCAGACGAGCGGTGAGCGGTAGCTAACATTCTTCAATCAAAAACAAAGAACAGACAAACCAAGCTTGTGGAGAGCCTACATGACCGCGGGGCAGACGGTCAGCAGAGTCTCCCTGAGCCTAGCATGGCTCTCAGTTAAATACCTTCTCCAGGAACAAAAGGCAGTACACAGCTGTTTCACACCTTAAGGTTCACACTCCCTTGCTACCTCCCAGAGTCCTCAAAGAGACAAAAGATTCTTCCTGTGGAGTGTCTGCTTCCCCCAACTTCCTTACTAGACCCCCACCATTTGTCTTACTGTATGAGTGTGAGACATGTTAAAATCCAGTGGCACCAAGGCATCATACAATAAAATAATGTGATTAATACATAAGTAAAAGAAATTCCTATACACCATCACAGATAATATAAAACAAAACTGTGACATTGTGCTGCACTAAAGTCAACAAATACTTGTGAGAGCTGTGAAGTATAATCTCAGGCTTAAGGGTGCACAGTTTCACCTAGTAGTTTTTTCCCTTCTGACTCATCTGCA